TGTCGCGGGGTTAACTGAGGAGTGTTTGTTGGGTGCCGACATTTTGGCAGCCCATGGGTTTTCGCTACACCTGGATGGGTCACCCCGTTTAAAGTTAGCAGGTAACACCGTCCCATTGTCTAGGGGACGGGGGGATGTAGTTCCGGTTCATGCCGCAAGGTTCGGCGGAGACGTGCAGAGCACGTTGTGGTTTGGGTTTTCGACCCTGTTGCTTTTAATAGCAAGTGTTTGCGGTTCGGCTCGGCTGATATTAGTGTGCAAACTCGCGTTAGCTTTTAGTTTTATCATTGCGTTTATTGTTCGGGGTGGCATCACATGGCCTGTGTATTCCCCTACCCCGGTGGTCCCTCCCAGGGTCTGCCCCCCTGCTGCTCCGCCGGAACTGGGCTACTCCATCTCCTTAGTGTCTGCTGTGGAAATTCCCCCATGGTCACAATTGCTGTTGCGGGGCGCAGTCAACGCCCCTCCCGAGATGATTGGTCTGGTAGAAGCTGTTGTTGATTCTGATTTGGGGTATGCCCTACCCCGTGCTGTGTGCGCTGTATCTCCTTCGGGTAGTGTCCCCTTGTGTGTAACCAATGTGTCTGATGTGCCGGTGTGGTTGGAGCGTGGTATGCATCTAGGGCAGTTCCTACCGGTGGAGGACCCTCGGCCGGATGTCTCAACAGACGAGGGTGTGGCAGTGGGCGTGCAGTCAGCGACGTCCGATTCAACACCAGCGGATCGCTTTGATCTCTCTCGGTTTGCTGGCACTGCGGACCAACGCCAAGCTCTGGTCAGTTTACTGAACGGTTTTAATGATGTCATAGCCGTAGATGATTGTGATGTGGGAGAGACCCCCCTCTTGACTCATTGCATCGACACCGGCGCTACACGCCCAATTCGTCAGGGGCCGAGACGCCTCCCCCCTCCCAGGGTCAAGATTGTGGCCGAAGAGGTCGAGAAAATGTTAGACAAGGGTATAATATCCCCTAGCGTGTCCCCGTGGGCTAGTCCGATTGTGTTGGTACAAAAACCAGATGGTTCAATTAGGTTCTGTGTCGACTACCGTAAATTAAATGATGCCACGCACAAGGATTCGTACCCCTTGCCTAGGATTGACGATACCCTGGATAGGCTGGGTGGGGCACAGTACTTTTCCACGTTAGACCTACAGTCGGGTTACTGGCAGGTGCCAGTGGAGGGGAAGGATCAGCAGAAAACGGCGTTCATCACTCCGCAGGGGCTATTTGAATTCCGCCGCATGCCCTTTGGCCTCTGCAATGCTCCTGCCACGTTCCAGCGGATGATGCATGCCGTGCTGCGGGGCCTTTCCCCCCTCTACTGTCTAGTGTATCTCGATGATGTTATTGTGTTTTCTCGCACATTCGCGGAGCACTTGCGCCGTTTAGAGGCTGTGCTAACTGCATTACGACGAGCGAAGCTTAAGATAAAACCTAGAAAGTGCCATTTGCTGCTGGCCGAGGTCCATTTCTTAGGGCATGTAGTCTCGGCTAAGGGGATTTCCACGGACCCGGGAAAAGTTAAAGCGGTACAGGAATGGAAGCAGCCAGCGTCTCTTAAGTCTCTACAATCATTTCTCGGATTTGCGTCATACTATCGACGGTTTATTCCGCATTTTGCGTCGGTGGCCCATCCACTGCATGACCTGTTACGAAAAGAGACTCCATTTGTCTGGGCAGAGGCTCATCAGTTAGCGTTCAAAAAGTTGTGCACAGCGTTTAGTTCAGCACCCATTTTGGCATTTCCAGACTTTTCGCGCCCGTTTATTGTGGATACGGATGCCTGCGTTTCAGGCCTAGGTGCGGTACTGTCACAGGTGACTAATGATGGCCTGGAGCGCCCCATAGCGTACATAAGTCGGTCGTGTTCGGCGGCGGAAAAGAACTATACCATCACCAAATTGGAGTTGCTGGCGGTAGTTTGGGCGTGCCGCACTTTTCGACCATACATTCTGTTACGGCCATTTTTGTTGCGCACAGATCATGGTAGCCTGAGATGGCTAATGAATTTTAAAAATCCAACAGGACAGACTGCGCGATGGCTGAGCACGCTGGCTGAGTTTCATTTCACTGTACAGCATCGCCCCGGGTTGCAACATGGAAACGCCGACGGTTTGAGTCGCCAGTTCGAAGCGGAGCCGTCCGTAAATGCAGTTAGTTTTTCTACGCCAGATGTCTCCGAAATTCTTCAGGCACAACAGGCGGATGCGGATATCCATGTAGTTGTAGATCGGCTGGCGGCCGCTCAGCCCATTCAGGATGGTGACAGCCCCGTCGTGCGCGCCCTCATGTCACAGACTGAGAACCTAGCTCTGACCGAGGGAGTTCTCTACCGCGAAACACTGCCATCGCTAGCACGGCAATTAGTAGTTCCGGCAGTTTTACACACCAAATTTCTAAATGAGGCGCACGCCGGCCGCACTTCTGGCCATTTTGGCCAGGATCGTACATTAGCCCGTTTAAGATCGGTAGCATATTGGCCGGGGATGTCCGTGGATGTGGCCCTCTATTGCAAAAGCTGCACGACTTGCGAGCGCGGTAAAGATCCGCCCAGGGCTGTGAAAGCCCCGCTTGGTACTATTTGCGTAGGTGCCCCATTTGAAGTTATGGCAATGGACATCATGGGACCCCTTCCCCTCACGGCTCGTGGAAATAAGTATGTGTTAGTGGTAGCAGACTATTTTTCTAAGTGGGTAGAAATTATTCCCCTCCCGGATATGAAGGCCGAGACCGTAGCAGACCGTTTGGTTGACCGGGTATTTTTGAAGTTTGGAGTCCCCTGCCAATTACATTCGGACCAGGGCCCTAATTTTGAGAGCCGCCTAATCTCCTCTTTATGTAAATTGTTGGGGGTTTGTAAGTCCCGCACCACCCCTTACCGGCCACAGTCAGATGGTCTTGTCGAGAGGGCAAACCGCACGATTCAGGTGGCCCTCCGGGCCTATGTCGCGGACGACCAAACATCCTGGGACCGCCACCTTCCTCTGGTACAATTTGCTTACAATACGGGTGTCCACCGTGCTACGGGATTCACCCCTCATTTTGTGCTCTTTGGGAGGGAGGCCCGTTTACCCCTTGATCTTTTTCTCCCTGCCCCGGGGGTCCCTCAAGTTACGCCTCTGCCCGCATATATCACAAATTTGCGGTCATCTTTGGCTAGGGCGTTTGGTGTAGTCCGGGATCGCCTGGGAGTGGCACATCGGGTGGCTAAATCTACTTATGATAGGCGGGTGAAACCCCCCAGTTTTCAACCAGGTGACTATGTCTGGCTCCATGCAGTTCCGCCCCCGGGTGCCAGCCCTAAGCTATTTCGCCCCTGGACTGGGCCATGGCAGGTAGAAGTAATTAAGGGAGTGGTGTGTTCCATTGTACGGGTGGGATCCCCTCCTTCGGCCCGCCATGCTAAGCATTTAACGGTACACACCGATCGGTTACGGGCTGTCCACGGTAAGGTAGTGGTTCCCCCAGGGGTACAGCAGGGAGCGTCTCCGCCTGGAATTACGGCGATGCCATCTATGGGGGGTCCAGCCATGTTTTTGCCTGCCCCGTTTGGTGCACCCCACCCTGTGGCTCCGGCTCCTGTTCTGGTTCAGCCCCCGGGTTCGGTCCCCACCCCTCCTCCTTCACCCCCGGGTTCCCCTCCGGGTACGCCCCCGTCTCCTCCGGGTTCCCCTCCGGGTACGCCCCCGTCTCCTCCGGGTTCCCCTCCGACCCCGCCCCGACCTGGTACACCCCGACCCAGACGTTCATGTGTGTTGTCGCCTGGGGGTTACGTCGCCTTAGAGGCAGGACAGGGTCAGCTTCCGTGGAAGGGGTGGTGATTGCTTGAGGCTGCGTGCTCCAGTTGTTTCGGTTGTTTTTTTTGTCATTTTTTTTTGCTCGTTCTAGTTATCGCGCCGCCGCGGCCCCGACGTCTATCTATTTTGCCATGACGGGGTCGGAGTGCTCTCTACCGGTTGCTCCGTTGCCTCCCCCGCTCTGTCCACCGGCACCTCCAGCACTCCCGTTGCTTCGCCGTGTGCGCCGTCGGTCTCGCCGCTCGAGACAGCGCCGCAGAGTCCGCCGGGCAGCACAGCACACAGCACCATGCATGTCACCTGATTCACCTACTTGCGCACGCATGTTTGCCATAGCTACCCAGGCCCTTTATATTGCGTTGCTGCTCTCTCAACTGTCTCTTCAAATAATCGCTCTCTTCAGTCGAGCTCTCTCACATAATGTAGTTGTTGCGTTGCGTTGCGTCTACCATAATAAATGTTTTCCCCCCTCGTTCCCGTCGTCCGTTGCGTTGCGTTTGGGAGGATTGAGGTACCAGGATGACCAACATAAGATACAATATACATGTAGCTCGAAAAACCTTTCTGTTTCCAGCTCATGCGCCTGAACTTCACCTGTATATGGTATTACTTATGATTTCCAGAAAAGTCACGTCCACTGAATCATGCACCCTGCCCATGCACCCTGTCAACATGTCGGAGACTCATAACGTCTCTAATATGTTGATACGTGTAATGGATGGACCGTAATATTGTACCGCCTGCACCTGCTCAGGTAAACGATTCTGGCGTGATGGCGTCTCTCAAGAATATGCCAATCTTGCACATATTGTATGCAACAGGAGTGAGGCCGATTAAAATATAATAGACACGACACCCTGGGGCGAAGATCTGCCCACATTGCAGTGTTGAAGAGGCAGTAGATTGAAAATTGCTCCTTCATGCAAGGATTCCAATTTGGTGAGGGTCTGTGGAACACATGAGTTGATTTTTTCTCGATAGTACATTATTAGCACAGACCATAATCATCATGGTTCATGACACCCTTTTATACTGTCCTTGACCGCATTCTTGATGTCACAGTCCGCCCCTGCAGCGAGCAGCGCTGGCACACATCGATTTTTTCTGCCCAGGCAGCATGGTGCAACGGAGTGTATGCCATGCTGGAAGCAGTTAATTTTACAGAGTAAAGCAGAACAGGATCAGCATGGTTCATGGCACTCTAAATCCGGTTCTTTACCGCATCATTGATGTTACAGTCCGCCCCTGCAGTGAGCAACGCTTGACACACGTCGATTCTACCTATCATGGCGGCATGGTGCAACGGAGTGGATCCATGCTGGAAGCACATGCAAGAAACAACAGTACAGGAAAAAGTTCTTGGGAAGTCTGAGTATAGATCACAATCACAATTGTAAATCAAAGCAAAACAATGCAGAGTGGAATTCAACAATTGGTTGATATGGTCCTACTTGTCTGGTACTGCCGTGGACATGGAAACCCGGTGGCACGTCTAGCGGCCCCTGGGCGCTGTCCATGCAGCCTTGATTCGGTACGCCTAGTCTACGGTGCACACATGCAGTGAGCTGGTCATATCTTTTTTTTTTTTTTTTTTTTTTTTTACTATTGTTCACAAACCCAACTCGTAAAATAAATAATTATGTCTGATCAACATGTGCACTGCATGCAACGTTTTGTACTCACTGAGAGCGCCGGTCCCGGTCATTCGACTGGATTTCCATGTCCAAGACAGTATTTTCTTTTGGGTTTGCGTCCTGGTGGGTCTGGCATTTTTTGGTCGCTGTGTGCAGGTCCAATATGGCATTTGGTACACTAAAAGACGGTCACTGGTCACGCAAGGCAGGTACAGTTTCCTTGTAGAACTGTCCATGCATGGAAAAATGCTGGTTAAAAGCAGATGGTGGCTAAAAGCAGAGGTCGCTTACACCAGGTTTTACTGTAGAGTGAAATCTGGCCAAGTTCATACGTCCACAGATTTGTAGTACATGTCTAGTATGGTATTACTTATGATTTCCAGAAAAGTCACGTCAACTGAATCAGCCGTGGGCCAAAACCGAGCAGAGTTGCCCATGCACCCTGTCTCTAATATGTTGATATAGAGCAGCGCAAGGAACAAAATGAGAAACGCAACTTGCAGAAGTCCTAAGGGAGCATCTCATCAGTTCGCATTTTGTTTCTAAACATAACGCATTTCGAAACAGGGGTAGGGAGGGTAGCGCCCTTTTCGAATAGAAAAATGACTGTTCGCACATTTTCTGGAACTGTACAATCTACTACCGTGCTAGATCCCTGCAGCAAATGAGTGTGTTTTGGTGGAGATCTACCTGTGTTTGCAGATCAGCTAACCCTTGCACAACATGCATGCAGGCTACTCAGAGGTGTCAAATGTCACACCGGCCTGATCAAATCGTGTACATGTGCCTGGCCAGCGTCTACAGCAGTACAGTTGTTGTGGAGGAACTATGTTTATGTGCGTGTACATGTCATTGATTGTACTTGTACGCAGTAAATGCGGTACTACTGGATGCCATTCACGACCGCTCTAGCAAAACATTCATATCCATATACATGTACATGTACAATCATGTACATAAGCATACCATAGCATGGGGCCGCATGGACGTGTACAGTAGATAAACACAGAAAATGTGCGATAAGACTTTCGAATAGAGGGGGGAGGTAGGGGGTAAAGTCTATTCGAAATGCGTTACGTTTGCAAAATAAATACGAACTTATGAGATGCTCCCTAACTTCCCTGGTTTTGTGCTTTGCTCTCAAAACAAGTTTGTGCAACTTTTTGCTTTTCGGTTTCCAGATCATGCACCCGAAGTTCTCCTTCTACTCCTCCCGAAGTCATTCCAAGTTCTTGTACAGGTAGACTCCCTCTAATTCGAATACGGTATAATTCGAGCATTCCGTGTAATTCGAACTTTTTCTTCGTACCGATCTTCTGCAAGTCACTTCAAGTTAAATTCGAATGCATAATTCGAAGTACGAAAAGTGCACCCGCTGGATAATTCGAACTCTGCCTTCGTACAGAAGAGCAGTTTACAGTACAGTGACTATGTCCTTCGAGCGCTTATTTCGAAGTGAGATGGAGTTGCTCTACTCGTAATTCGAAGTACATTTTTTCTCCTTCTCTAGCCAAGAGTAACTCAGAAATTGATCGTTGGTCCGCTCCAGGATCGACAATAGCGTTGAAGAAACCCACCTTCTCTCGAAATTTGATCCAAGCCTGTGCAAGGCAAAGTGCAAAGATTTGATTGAAGACGACTTTTTCCAGGTGATTGGCTCCCTTCGCGGATCTCAATGGCTTGTCATGCCGCGCCAGCTCATGCGCAAAGAATTTTAGGACTGAAGAACAACTGGAAGTCATAAAAATTATCTATGCCTATGCTCCACTTCCGTTCTTCAGAACGACCGTGCTGCTCTCCAAGGGGCTTTCATGGCGCAGAGAAGGCAGCGCTGTTCTTTTGCGTTGAAATCGTTCCAGGAGAACTGCAGCGATTGAAAACTGCTTCACTAGAACTTAATAGAAGATGAAAATAATGTCCAATGACTTCATGTCGATCCAGTGTTTTGGTGAAATGAACTGATTTCGTTGTTCATGACCACCTATGGCACTTGTGCCAGTGGTAGTGAGACTTATCCACTCACCCCCACTGTTAGGCGCTGCATCTGCCGCTAGGGTTTACCGGGTGTTAGCGGCAGTCGCGAGTACCCTTCTGGAACGGACACGATAATTTCCTTTAATTTTTTACTTTTTTATGTTTCGTTGTTGCAAATAAAATATGCAAAAATAATCAGCACGCAATTTCGAGCATTTTCACATACATATCAGTACATGGGACTGCATTTTGGATAATTAGAAGTTCCGGATACTTCGAGTATAGTGCCTGGCAATTTAAGGTTCGAATTAGACGGAGTCTACCTGAACTTCGACAAACTAGCAGCTAATATATGTAATGGATGGAACATAATATTGTACCGCCTGCACCTGCTCAGGTGAAAGATTCTGGCGTGATGGCGTCTCTGAAGAATATGCCAATCTTGCACATCTTGTACGCAACGGGAGTCAGGCCAATTAAAAAAATAGACACAACACCCTGGGGCAAAGATCTGCCCACACTGCAGTGTTGAGGAGGCAGTAGATTGAAAATTGCTCCTTCATGCAAGGATTCCAATCATAGCCAGCAATCGCATGTCATCACGTACATTCAAAATCAACATAATTTTGCGAATCGACCTTTTTTTCAGGATCACTTTTCAACGAGGGCGAAGCAAAGTGGGCCGAACGAAGCCTAGAGGAAGAAAATCACCCTCTCCACTTCACCATCACGATACTGACATAGATACGAGATGAAACAACTAAAAAATCCACAGGAAAACTGTACGGCCATCATCGCGCTGACTTTGGTCTGACTTTGGTCTGAGAATTTCTATCACGATCAAAAATGTACGAGGAGCACTCAAAAATAAGCCACAGACGTACCTTTATCGCTCTCTACTCCTTTTTCAAGGCACAAAAGTCGTCTCTCCACTTTCAAACCAGGAACCAGACATACCAGTGGTCCTTTTCAGCTGCTCCACGAGCGCAGGAAATGTTCACCAAGGGGCGCAGAGCAGCATCCATTCCAGAAAAAGAGCTAAAATACGAGTGAGACTGCATGCCTGAGTACATGAGTACATGTATGAGTACATGCAGAAAATAGTCAATTTCAGCGTTTCTGCTCCAAACAGCAACTAGCTTCGACTAGAAACAAAGATTACACCAAAGGATCAAACAACAACCATTTTCTGCAGTTTTTTTGCAGATGGCTTCCTTGTGCTTGGCCCAGCACGCCAAAAATCACACCTCGGAGAAGTACAAAAATTACAACTCTCAGATGTCCTCGATTGCTGGCCATGTTGGTGAGGGTCTGTGGAACACATGAGTTGTTTTTTCTCGATAGTACATTGTTAGCACAGACCATAATCATCATGGTTCATGACACCCTATTATACTGTCCTTGACCGCATTCTTGATGTCACAGTCCGCCCCTGCAGCGAGCAGCGCTGGCACACATCGATTTTTTCTGCCCAGGCAGCATGGTGCAACGGAGTGTTGCCATGCTGGAAGCAATTAATTTTACAGTGTAAAGCAGAACAGGATCAGCATGGTTCATGACACTCTAAATCCGGTTCTTTACCGTATTCTTGATGTTACAGACCGCCCCTGCAGCGAGTAACGCTTGAAACACCTCGATTTCACCCCAGACGGCTTTGTGCAACGGAGTTTCGCCATCCTGGAAGCACATGCAAGAAACAAGAGTACAGGAAAAAGCTCTTGATAAGTCTTGTCGTAGATCACAATCACAATTGTAAATCAAAGCAAAACAATGCAGAGTGGAATTCAACAGTTTGTTCATATGGTACTGCTTGTCTGGTACTGCCGTGGACAAGGAAATCCGGTCGCACGTCTAGCGGCCCCTGGGCGCTGCCCATGTAGCCTTGATTCGGTACGCGTAGGCTACGGTACACACATGCAGTGCGCTGGTCCTATCGGATCAACATGTGCACTGCATGCAACGTTCTGTACTCACTGAGAGCGCCTGTCCCGGTCATTCGCCTGGATTTCCATGTCCAAGACAAGACAGTATTTTCATTGCATGAATACCATTAGTGTACAGACATACATGTATGTCTTTTTCTTATCCGTGTGTTGTTATACAAATTGGATCAACGCCCAGGATGTGGTAGGAATGTGGCTAGACATGCACATATGCAAGTGCAGTGATGTAATCTGAACTGGTCCAGGGTGACAGCTTTGCACTTTATTAGTTCGGATTTCAACACTCACGACCGTACTTGCTCGCTGTTTGGGTTTGAGTGCATACTTTCAGAGCGTGGTGAAGGTAAGTTACGTGATAAAGGCAGAGAGCCGCGCACTGACCCATAACCACAGTTGCATACTCTTGTTTATGCACTCTTGCTACTTTCCACGGGGATGGAGTCTGTGCTGCACTAGCCTGTGGCAATGTAAGATACAATATACATGTAGCTCGGAATACTTATCTTTTTTCAGCTCATGTCCCTGAAGTTCACCTGCATACTCCTCCCTAAGTCGTTCCGAGTTTTTGTACTTCGACATACTAGCCCCCAATACGTGTAATGGATGGAACATTATTGTTCTGTCGGGACCTGCTGAGGTGAAAGATTCTGGCATGATGGCGTTTCTCTACACTATACCAAGCAATGGGAGCGTGACCGATTTTGAGAACAATAGACACAACAAACTGGGGCAAAGACCTGCACACATTGATGGGGTGAGGAGGCTGTAGGTGAGAATTTTCGGGTTAGGACAGGATTCCACCCGGATAAAGGTCAAGGAACAGATGATTGTTTGCACGTTAATTGTACAGTGCAAACACAGAACATGATCATCCTGGTTCATGACACTCAATGTCACTGTGCTTTACCTCATTCTTGATGTTGCAGTGCGGCCCTGCAGCGAGCAGCGCTTGACACACATCGAGTTTACCTATCCAGGCGGCATCCTGCAACGGAGTGTTGCCAAGCTGGAAGCACACGCAAGAAACAAAAGTACCGGAAAAAGTTCTCAATGAGTTAGATTGTGGGTCACAGTCACAGTTGTAGATCAAAGCAAAACAATTCAGAGTGGAATTCAACAGTAGATGAATATGGTACTACTTTTCTGGTATTTACATTGCATGATTGCCATTAGTGTACAGACATACATGTACACTTATACCTCGGTTATCCAGACCCCAAAGTTACGGGCATTTCAGGCTACCGGGAAAACTTTAGCCGAGGTTCAGGGAAATGATAGTACTCTTTTGGCGATTTTCGTGGAAATAGTGACGACATACGCCATATTTATGGCCATTCCCCGTCAAAATGTATGTCATTCGGGGAAACAGACATTTCGAAGTTACGGGTAGTGCCCGGATAAACAAGTTATGAGTGTATTTCATATTGTCGAATCATTGTGTCGTTGTACAAATTGGATCAACGCCCAGGTTGTGGTATGAATGCGGCTAGACGTACACATAATATGAAAGTGCAGTGATGTGATCGGAACTGGTTCATGGTACCAGTTTTGTGCTTTAGGTCACATTTCGGTGAAGAGAATTGTACGTCGCTGCCTTAATCTGGTCCCTCCCGGGTGATTCAGCGTCAATTTTGGAGTTTGTGCTTTTGCCACTTTCAAAATGGATGTATTTGCCTTTTATTCTGCATGTGGAATATTAATATCGTACTCGTAATACAGGTTCAGCGAATCCCAGCCTATTCATGCGGCTGCAGATTCGTAGTACATACTGTAGAACAGGTAATTTAGCGACTAGTTGTATTTTAGCGTTTTACCATTGTCAACTGGTTAAGCCTAGTTCACATTCGACGGGGCGCGACGGGACGCGACGTAAGGATCGACGGGAAGCGACGGGACGGACTGACGGCGTCCAATGTGAACACCAGGAACGGGAACGCAACCGTACTACCGTACAGATCGGGAAGCGACGGGAAGAGTTGGATCGATCCACCTTTTCATACCGTAGACGGGCGTAGACGGGGACGCAAGCGTACAAAACGGTTACAATTCGAGTGTGAACAGGAGACGGCGTCGTGCGCCGACTACTCCCGATTCGTACTTGGAAATTTTTAGCATTTTGAACACTGCGCTTCCCATGATAAGTCACAGAATGGCTAGCACGACTGGAGTTGAATTTTAGCAACATAAGATCTCATGTCACTTATTGTATTTAGGGATAGTAGAAGCGTGACAGACGAACTATTCTATCATTTCCTGGGGCTATTATTTGAATGCCACAACTTTCAGGGCTAATTTGTTGGTCTTCATGAAAATCTCGTATTGTGAACTTGATTCCGCTTCTTTCAAGGAGAAATAATTGAAGAGAAGTCCCGAAAAACGAGAAATTAGGTCGGAAAGTCACCCCGTCACGGACCGTGCCTTATGACTCGCGCCGTTCGACGACTGCTGCATGTCGTGTCGTACGAATCGTACAGGATTTTACAGCTCACCCCAGCCCTCCCGACAAGCCCTTACGTCCCGTACCGTCGGCGTTGCGTCGAATGTGAACTAGGCTTTAGCGACGTTTTAGTTTCGCTATGTGCAGCGATTTTACTCACGGATCACCAGTGCACTACTTGTCTCAACGGATTAAGGACTTGAAACTTTAGCGAAAATGAGTCGATCGCTAAATTCGCTAGGGTTTTACGTCGCTAAAATTACCCGTTCTACAGTACCTCATACGGTGTTACTGTCTAATGATCTGGAGAAAAGTTTCTGTCAACTGAATCCACCCAGGGCCAAACCAAGCGGAGTTTAGCATGCACTCTGCAAACGAAATAACACTCACGTCGTCTCCGGCATGTTGATATAAAGTGGCGCAAGAAATAAAATGAGGAGGAAGGCATGCAGAAGGCTTAGCTTCCGTGCTTCTGTTCTTTGCTCGCGAAACCAGTTTGTGCAGCTAGTGCACCTAAACCCTACGTGGGGGTTCTTGTATGGAAATCCTGTATTCACATCTGGAATGCTCGAGGTTCTGTATGCACAGCCTACTATTCACGAGGATGGAGCCTGCGCTGCCCCAGCCTGCAGCAATGTAAGATACAATATATTTGTAGCTCTAAATACTTTTTTGTTTTCAGCTCATGCGCCTGAAGTCCACCCGTAGACTCCTCTCGAAGTCGTTCCGAGTTTTAGTACTTCGACATACTAACCCTTCATACGTGTAATGGATGGAACATGGTAATCATTGTTCCGTCTGGACCCGCTCAGGTGAAAGATTCTGGTATGATGGCGTCTCTCAAGAATATACCAAGTAATGGGAGCTTGACCGATTTTGAGAACAGTAGACACAACACCTTGGGGAAAAGGCCTGCACACATTATAGTCATGAGGAGGCCGTAAATGAATATTTCCGGTTAAGACAGGATTCCACTCGATCGGGTGAAGGTCAGGGAACACATGATTTATCGTACGTTAACTGTACAGTGCAAACACAGAACAGGATTATCCTGGTTCATTACACTCAATGTTACTGTGCTTTACATCATTCTTGATTTTACAGTCGGCCCCTCCAGCGATCAGCGCTTTACACAACTCGAGGTGACCTCTCCTGACGGCATTGTGCAACGGAGTGTTGCCACGCTAGATGCACACGCAAGAAACAACAGTGGAGGAAAAAGTTCTCAATGGGTTTGATTGTAGAACACAGTCACAACTGTAGATCAAAGCAAAATAATTCAGAGTGGAATTCAACAGTTGGTGGATATGGTACCACTTGTCTGGTATTTACATTGCATGATTGCCATTAGTGTACAGATATACATGTACACTTATACCTCGGTTATCCAGACCCCAACGTTACGGGCATTTCAGGCTACCGGACACCCTTTGGGTTAGTTTCAGTGGAAATGTTACTACTCTCTTGGCAATTTTTGTGGAAATAGTAGCGACATATGCCATATTTAAGGCCATTCCCCGTCAAAATGTTCTTCCTCCACGTGATCGAAATTGTTGCAGTTTGACTTTTGATATAAAACGGGGGATTTACTCACCAGCACTGGTACCAAAGGCAAGGAATCAGACATAGGCGATAATCATCAGTATTGGGTGACGGCAAAGTTCTATTTTCTGTTATTGGAAGCTGGAATATTTGAACTAGACGCAATTTCTTCGCTGATGTCGCTGCGATGGTAATTTCGACTCGCTGAGATCGGTCAGGCATTGCAGCCTGTACATTTCTCGTGCTTATGGCCATTCACTCAAGCCTCATTACTGTTTTACCTTAGCTGGGGTGAGAATGACTTCGTGGAACAAGTGGCAGCGCTTGGAGAAACATCGAGGGGTCAGCAAACTAAATGCCTGCAACAGCGATAAAATTTGTCGCTCTGGCTGAGACACTCAGTACATGTTTGTACCTGCAAGCGCCGTGTAGACTCTACACACAGCGCTAGTGATGCACGCGCAGGTGCCGTACCATGGTATACCAGTGATGCTGAAAAAGAGGGCGCGCTGGACGTGATAGTACACTTACCTTCATGTGACCACACAGCTAAAATAAATGGGCATGCCACGGCTAAAAAAAGTTCATTTCAAGATCGAGGTGATTCCGCCGACGGTAATCAACCGACCTCGCAACGATCGTGTATTCTTACTAGGCTTCGTTGGTGGTGAAGTAGAAATCATCCAGAGCTAGCAGACGACAAGCATAGCAGCTCTTGTCCTGTGGAGAAAGTCAAAGCGTTTGAGATGAGGCACGACCAACTTTCAACCTTCCTTGAAATATTTCGGAACGATATTTTTGCGTCCATTGACATCAGCGACGACGAGGACTTCATCTCTGCATGAAAACTTTCAGTCCAACAGTCCTGGAACGTTACTCTAGTCTTCAGACTATCATCCTGTGTAATAAGGTTTGAATGGCTTAGCTTATGGAGTTCTGCGACCATTTCGATGACGCGGAGGAAGTATGTGATTCGGGGAAACGGACATTTCGCAGTTACGGTCAGTGCCTGGATAAACCAGTCATGCTCCTGAAGTTCATCTGTATACTCCTCCCGAAGTCATTCCGAGTTTTTCTACTTCGACATACTAGCCCCTCATACGTGTAATAAAATTTCACGGTTCGCGTGAGACTCGGCCAAAGGCCCAGTTTTCCGCATCCGCAGGAACGCCACCACCCTCTTGGATCAAGGCGCAGATGCAGCTCCTAAGCGGTGGGAGGTGAGTAGATCAGACCCACCACAAAGTGGTCAAAGACCGAAATCCCATTCACTGCATCCATGTTTCCCTCGTGCCAGGCCACGAGTTCCCAATTAACTGTGGGTCGCAGCATGGCTGGAAAAAATCCTTCCGCTTCCAAGCAGGACTTGAACCTGGTACCCTCTGTTTCTCAATCATGGTCTTAGACCATCCCACTATGCCTGCCTGCCTACGTGTAATAGATGAAACATAAAATTGTCCTGCATGGACCTTGCTCAAGTGAAAGATTCGGGCATGATGGTGTCTCTCAAGAATATACCAAGCAATGGGAGCGTGACCGATTTTGAGAACAATAGACACAACACCCTGGGGCAAAGACCTGCACACATTGATGGGGTGAGGAGGCAGTAGATGAGAATTTTCCGGTTATGACAGGATTCCACTCGGGTATAGAACACATGATTGTTTGTACGTTATTTGTAAAGTGCAAACACAGAACAGGATTATCCTGGTTCATGACACTCGATGTCACTGTGCTATACCTCATTCTTCATTTTACAGTCGGCCCCTGCAGCGAGCAGCGCTTTACAAATCTCGATTCTACCTATCCTGGCGGCATCGTGCAACGGAGTGTCGCCAAGCCGGAAGCACAGGCAAGAAAAAACTCCATAGCTGGTTATCGTGTCATCTTGACGGCCGTTCACTCCAGTGCTTAGTTGGCGGGCAGATTTCTTCTCTCTACCCAATCTCTGCAGGGGTGCCCCAGGGCAGTATCTTGGGCCCTACGCTGTTTTTAACCCTTTGAGGACTACCCAAAACCACCTGGATTCCTACCATTTTCAGGCGAAAAATCAATATTTTCAAAAATTGATCTAGTGTCATAAAATTTGGTTCTAAAGAGACATAGACATCAGTAGGCAACAAAAACCAATGTTTCTACATCATATATCCATTATAGAGGCCAGATTGGTCAATTCAAAATAGGTGTATGTTGCGATTTTCTCAAAAAATTGAGATTTTCAAAAATTGGATATGGTGTCCTAAAGTTTGATTCTAAAGAGACATTGATATCAGTGACATCCTCAGAAAAGTAAAAAGGATCACACTGTTCATCCTCACTATCGCTTCTCATAAAGATAATGCCGAGGGCCTCAGACAAGGAGACACTTGACAGGTTACGTGCCATCGGCACTCTCAACAAACTAACAAGTTAGTTTAAATTTCCAAATAATTTCTCGATCGGCGCATTCTCTGAGTATACTCAAATGTGGCCCGTTCTCCACGGGACCGACGCGGATCGATTGCGACATGTCTCACCTTGACGAAGAATCAGATCGTACTTGTCTGAGCAACATATGAGCGACTTCAAGCACCTAAAAATTATATCGATATCGCAATTTTCTAAAAAACGGATATACTCGTCTTAAGGAATCCAGCTATACCTTAAAAAACGGATATATTCGTCCTTCGTCCTCAAAGGGTTAATATACGTGAATGACGCTGCCGATGTTCTTGATGGCAATGCTAAGCTTGAGGCCTACGCGGTCGATACCACACTATACAGTCTAGTATCCTCAGCTCAGTGCCCTCGGGACGCTGCACACACCTTGCAGGTATCTACAAACCGCCTGCATAAGTGGGGTTGCCGGTGGAAAGTGTCTTTAGAACCCACCAAGTCACAGGCTATTAATTGCAACCCTCCGACGCACTGACCTAGACCTACCCCAAATCCTGTTTGGTGGTACCCCTGTACCGGAGGAAACCAGCATATCACTGCTTTGTGTTCGATTTGACTCCAAATTGTCCTTTGCTAGTCACCTCAGCACCGTGACCATCCGCGCCCAGCAGTGCCTCGGCTTTCTCCGACGAGCGGCCCACATTCTAACGCCAGCTGGCCGAACAACTGTCTACAAGGCATTCGTGAGGCCCCTGATGGAGTATGCCCCGCTTGTGTGGATGGGCGCGCCAGCCAGCCACATCCAACGTTTGGATAATGTTCAACGCCGCGCACTGCGCATCATTGGCCCTGGTGCAATTCCCCTCAGTCTGGCTGTCCGCCGGACTGCTGCTGCTCTCTCGTGCATGTACAAATTGCATTTCATCACTGGTCCTCCTCAGCTTTTTGCTGTATTGCCACCGCATCGCGTTTCTCCAGCCAACCCCAGAACCAGGAACGAGCACAATAATGCCACTAGCCACGCCTATCAACTGTCAGACACGCTCCCTGTCTCAGCTCCATCCGTTGTGAAGCGGTCGTTCCCGTACTGCTGTAAAGGCGCATGGAACTCCCTTCCTGACAGGCTGCTGTCGCAGCGCCCGCACAAAACACGTTATCAGTCATTCAAGACAAAGGTCTACTGACACCTGAGAGACAGCAACTGGTACTGGGCAACATATTCCCTGTAATGTTTCGAGCTCGTCGCTTGCCCGACCCGCTAATCCGCGTACCTTGCCTTGCTCAGAGTGCTCAGCTTTGTTTTTGCATACGTGTACATGTACATGGTACATGAGTCCAAACACTGATAATTTACAATCTCTTTTTATCTAGTTTTTATTTTTCTAAACACCAACCAGCACTTTTACCCATTCTACTTCCCCATAGCTAGATCTAGCTTCGCTTTACATTTCTGTTTCTTTTCCTGGTGCGTGCTTGTGGCATTGAAGCCGAGACCTTTCATCGGTGGAGCCCCTGGTATCTCACCATCACTGCTGCCCAGTGCAGCTGCTACTCAGTAGCTGTTTGTTTTTGTCCACAGAATTTTTTATGTTACGAGTTACAAATCTTACAAATTGAAGGGCACTCACGTCGTCTCCGACATGTTGACATAAAGTGGCGCAAGAAATAAAAGGAGGAGGAAGGCATGCAGATGTCTAAGCTTCCGTGCTTCTGTTCTTTGCTCGCGAAACCAGTTTGTGCAGCTAGTGCACCTAAACCCTACGTGAGGGTTCTTGTATGGAAATCCTGTATACACATCTGGAATGCTCGATGTTCTGTATGCACAGCCTACTATTCACGAGGATGGAGCCTGCGCTGCCCTAGTCTGCAGCAATGTAAAATACAATATACATGTAGCTCGAAATACTTTTCTTTTTTCAGCTCATGCGCCTGAAGTCCACCTGTATACTCCTTGCGAAGTCGTTCCGAGTTTTAGTAATTCGACATACTAACCCTTCATACGTGTAATGGATGGATCATAGTAATCATTGTTCCGTCTGGACCCACTAAGGTGAAAGATTCTGGTATGATGGCGTCTCTCAAGAATATACCAAGCAATGGGAGTGTGACCGATTTTGAGAACAATAGACACAACACCCTCGGGCAAAGACCTGCACACATTATAGTCATGAGGAGGCCGTAAATGAACATTTCCGATTAACCCACAACCAACTTACACTGTATAGTGCAGTTAGCTTTTTTTTGAGCTCCGTAGTTTTTCGCAGGT